TGCGATCCTTGTAAAGCAAGGTAAACAACTACTTCCATGTCGCATAGCAAGTTAAGTCATGACTCTAAATGTCACTAGTTCGCAACACTAACTAGCTAGCCCTTTCATACCAAACATTCAACCCCCTATTACTTCCTTCTCCACAGCAACCACTGATCCTTGTAACAACATCAACCATCCTAAATTGCTGTAGTAACGTCATGTTTGGTTCAGTTTATCTATTACGATAGTATGTCCATAATACTTCTAACAAAGCTACATTATCCCTATTGTTTGTTTAATAATCCTATTCTCTGAGTTCCCCTCTCTTCCGAGCCTCAGAGTGCCACACCCTAGCAGTTTCTAGCCCCTCTACTCTGTTTCTTTAGATCAGTTCCACAGTTTACATGCATCTGTTTAATCATAAACTCTAACTTATCTACATCCCCGGTTGACTCCGGGACCTCCTTTGAGGATTTGCTTCCCATGCCGACTATCTAGTTATGTCCCTATAATCTAGTAATAATTCACTCAATAATTATTTTCCTTTGGACTTATTATTAGGTGCGACTTTTGAGCAAATGTTATGATCAACGTTTGTAATCAACCCTTTAAATTATTCAAACCCGTAACCCAGTGTGTTTTAAGACCCCAGTTTCATGAAACGGATGGGACAACCATTCTTTCTCACGCAACCTATTTTACTCCCTTCCTTGAAACAATTAATTATCGCGACTTTCGATGGATCATTAGGTCTCACACGTATACAACCTTATATGATTATTAGTTAACACTATCGGTAACCCGGAGTTTGTAAGGCTCCAGTTTCATGAAATGGATAGAGTTACGGCAAATCTACAGTTGTTTATGACTTTTGACTTGTTTAATGTATCTATCTCACACAATGATAATTATCTCCCTTCCTGTTTATATTGTAAAGACTGTATCTTGTACAATCTCAATATTAACTAGTTTATATTGGTATTGGCCTATTACCTTGAGTCAATTGCGGACCCACTTCCTTCCTTCCTTCCTTTTTGATAAACGTCGAAAAAACGGTTTACCGAATGACGATCCCTTTTTGGATTATCGACGGATTACTACCCTCACTACAGCAGATTTAAACTGTAAATTTTTTCCCACTGCAGTTTCAAGATATCAATCCCCCAAAATAAATGAATAGAAATTACTGACCTTATCTTTGCAGCTGGGACATCAATTTTTGTTTAATCTCGTCACCGTTTCTGTCATCTATCAGTTTGCCATCGGCCTGTAATGAACCCCCAATATCAGAGGCCAGGTCTTTATCTATACAGATGTATCATCCGCCCATGCACGGTTTTCGGTGTTCCCCGGAACGACAGAAAACGGGTATTGAGATCCGGCTCGAAGGACCAATTGTCACGAGAATTTTGTTATCTCAATGGTTGCAAGCTTTGAATAATTCCCAGAGGGTGTAAGGCTCTGGTTTAATAATGAATTAAACAAAGTCCCGTTCTGCATTAGGTCAGTCTTTTTATTCATGAGAGCTCTGGCGCTAAAAACACACACAGCCTTTTTATATGCCTTCACACAAAGGAACTTTGCTTCCGCCCACCTTTAGGCTGCCTGTGACTTTCCACAGTATCAAACTCCACTATGGCCAAGACCAAAGAGCTGTCAAAGGACACCAGAAACAAAATTGTAGACCTGCACCAGGCTGGGGAGACTGAATCTGCAATAGGTAAGCAGCTTGGTTTGAAGAAATCAACTGTGGGAGCAATTATTAGGAAATGGAAGACATACAAGACCACTGATAATCTCCCTCGATCTGGGGCTCCATGCAAGATCTCACCCCGAGGGGTCAAAATTATCACAAGAACGGTGAGCAAAAATCCCAGAACCACACGGGGGGACCTAGTGAATGACCTGCAGAGAGCTGGGACCAAAGTAACAAAGCCTACCATCAGTAACACACTACGCCGCCAGGGACTCAAATCATGCAGTGCCAGACGTGTCCCCCTGCTTAAGCCAGTACATGTCCAGGCCCGTCTGAAGTTTGCTAGAGTGCATTTGGATGATCCAGAAGAGGATTGGGAGAATGTCATATGGTCAGATGAAACCAAAATAGAACTTTTTGGTAAAAACTCATCTCGTCGTGTTTGGAGGACAAAGAATGCTGAGTTGCATCCAAAGAACACCATACCTACTGTGAAGCATGGGGGTGGAAACATCATGCTTTGGGGCTGTTTTTCTGCAAAGGGACCAGGATGACTGATCCGTGTAAAGGAAAGAATGAATGGGGCCATGTATCGTGAGATTTTGAGTGAAAACCTCCTTCCATCAGCAAGGGCATTGAAGATGAAACGTGGCTGGGTCTTTCAGCATGACAATGATCCCAAACACACCGCCCGGGCAATGAAGGAGTGGCTTCGTAAGAAGCATTTCAAGGTCCTGGAGTGGCCTAGCCTGTCTCCAGATCTCAACCCCATAGAAAATCTTTGGAGGGAGTTGAAAGTCCGTGTTGCCCAGCGACAGCCCCAAAACATCACTGCTCTAGAGGAGATCTGCATGGAGGAATGGGCCAAAATACCAGCAACAGTGTGTGAAAACCTTGTGAAGACTTACATAAAATGTTTGACCTGTGTCATTGCCAACAAAGGGTATATAACAAAGTATTGAGAGCTTTCAGCAGTTTATAGGTTCCCCCCTTACTATGGAATGTTCGCCTCCAACAGTTTCTACCCATCTTCCCTGTTAGTGGTTTTATTGTCTTATAACTCTAACACAGTTTACACATTTATACAGTATCGGGATGGAAACATCAGTCATTACTTTACACATACAAATTCTTCTATCACTATCAGAAGCTTCTAAAGCCATGCCATCATTTTCTGGAATTTTCCAAGCTGTTTAAAGGCACAGTCAACTTAGTGTATGTAAACTTCTGACCCACTGGAATTGTGATACAGTGAATTATAAGTGAACTTGTGTCATGCACAAGTAACCGACTTGCCAAAACTATAGTTTGTTAACAAGAAATTTGTGGAGTGGTTGAAAAACAAGTTTTAATGACCAACCTAAATGTATGTAAACTTCCGACTTCAACTGTATATACTGTATAGGCTACATTGAGGTTTTTCTTTCATTCTTTTAGGCGATCTGTCATTAGTGCCTAAGCTTTAGGCCTAACTGTACGCGCGCCAAATAGCCTGCGCGCCAAATAGCCTGCGCGCCAAATAGCCTACACGCCAATCGCCAAATGCTTTTGGGAACGGGCAGAAAAAGTTAGCGTCAATCCACGGACACAAAAAGGACAATGTCAGAGTTCAATAAGAGAAATGCTGCAAAATGATGAGTTGAAAATAAAGAGAAGGGAGGGCCAGACAAGTAATGTTAGGAAAACATTTGGTGAAGTGGTAAAAGTGGATGATAGGAGTGCCGCGCTACAGTATGTTATGTGTGATGATTGTGAGGTGCTATACAAATTCGACAGTCACAAGACGGGGACTTCAAATAGGCCTATGGCACATCAAGGGAACTGTAGCCTACTGTTCAGATGGGTTAAATGGAAACTGAAATATGGACACTGACTGTAAGTCTATAACCTCTCACATAGCCTTAATATTAACTCCTGCAGAATTAAGCATTTCTTGCAGTAAAATGATACACCAAATGTAGGCAAATGTTTTACTCAGGAACAGGAGTGGAGAAATATTATTTATTTATTTCAGCATCTTGAGAGAATGTGAATGCACAATTAGATACCGTCTGTAGAGGTGCTATCTTTATCAGCATCATAAAAGCTGATAGTATTTCAACCACATACAATAATCATCCTAGCCAATCTGAAATCTTATCAAAAACATGTTGGGTCATTTTCACAGCTTTCTATTTCCTGACAACTGGTCAAACTGATGTCATTTGGAAATTTTGCACAGAAAATTGTTCAAATTTTTTTGGTTATTGCATGTTCTTAAACGTCTTTGCTCCACAAAAGAAGCAGAGATGACAGAGAACTTTACCGATGTCAACTAGATTGAAGCATTCATTCTATCGATTTATGACATTATTCTGGTGAGCAAAGATTTAGTCTTCTAGGGCAACATGCTTGTATAACGCATGTGGTCCTCTGTAGCTCAATTGGTAGAGCATGGCGCTTGTAACGCCAGGGTAGTGGGTTCGATCCCCGGGACCACCCATACGTAAAAATGTATGCACACATGACTGTAAGTCGCTTTGGATAAAAGCGTCTGCTAAATGGCATATTATTATAATGACAGAAGAGAAGCTGCATGTATCTAATTAAGTTGACTAACAAATAGCCTACCAATATGTTGGAAATTATAAGCAGAAATATATCTAAATCAGACAAAAAAAATCCTGCACCCCTTGTCAAATATTGTTCCGCCGTCTCTGACTGTAGCCTATAGCACATTTTTCTATATTTGTGAGTTAGGGTCGAGTGCGGGTCCTCAGATTTTTTTATTTATCCCATATAGTTGGGCAGTTGCGGATGGGTTATTAGCAATTGCGGGCGGGTGAATAAACAGATGACCTGCGCATCACTAACGTGTGTGTGTGCGTGTGTGTGTAGAGCCCCTCAGTAACTGCACGGCCAATCTGATCGGTAACGAGGTCCTGGCTACAGACGACCCCTGCTTCACCTGCCAGTGCAAGGTACCATGGCAATGACCACTGACCTGTGTTTATGTCTGTTTAAAGCTATGTATTGTGTGTGGGAGTAGTGGTATAATAATATAAAGCTGTGTATTGTGTGTTGGACTGAGCTACAGTCCCCTGTAGCTCAGTTGGTAGAGCATGGCGCTTGCAATGCAAGGGTTGTGGGTTCGTTTCCCACGGGGGGCCAGTATGTAAATGTATGCACTCACTAACTGTAAGTCGCTCTGCATAAGAGCGTCTGCTAAATGGCTAAAATGTAAATGTAAATGATATACTGTATAACCTGTCTACCTGTGTGTTGTTGCGTTGGTCAGGACCTGACGTGGACATGTCTACACCAGAGCTGCCCCCCTCTCAGCTGCCCCCCTGAAGAACACCACACACCCCTTGACTCCTGCTGCCCCGTTTGTGACGGTACACGCTCAACCCTACCCCCTTTTTGTACACCTTAAACACCCAACCTTAACCTCGAAACCCTGTGTCATCAAGTGTGTGTGTTTTTCTTTCAGAGTGTGTTATTGAGGGTGAGAAAAGGCGTGTGTCTAATGGTGAGAGCTGGACAGACAGTGAGGATGAGTGTGTCACATGCACCTGTAATGTAAGTTACACAAACACACACAAATGCACACGCACGCTAACGCACTCACAGAATGGCACAAATGGCACAAATTTCCATTGTTGTATGTGTGTGTATTCTAGCTGGGTTACATTGAGTGCAGTATAGAGGAGTGTGTTCCTGTGGAGTGTGAGCAGGGCCTGGTCAGAATGAAGACTCCTGGAAAATGCTGTTACGAATGCCAAGGTACAACTTCTACAGTACTCGCTAACCAATATAAATAACTACGCAATATCACCACTACACAGCTAAACTGTTAATATACCACTACATAATGTGTGTGTGTTTCAGACTCGGGGGTTCAGTGTGTGTACCAGGGCTCTGTGTACCAGTCTAATGAACAGTGGGAAGTGGATGAGTGTACCAGCTGTACCTGTGTGTTTGGAGATGTACACTGTTACAGCCAACGCTGTCCTCCACTAGGCTGTGCAGCAGTAAGTATAAATATAATAAATATAAAAATATATAAGTATAACACACACTTGACTCTCAGTGTTCTGTCTGGTCTCTCAGTGTTCCATCTAGTCTCTCAGTGTTCAGTCTGGTCTCTGTGTTGCGTCTGACTCTGTGTTCCATCTGGTCTTTCAGTGTTCTGTCTGGTCTCTCAGTGTTCCGTCTGGTCTCTCAGTGTTCCATCTGACTCTGTGTTCCATCTGGTCTTTCAGTGTTCCGTCTGGCCTCTCAGTGTTCCGTCTAGCCTCTCAGCGTTCCATCTGGTCTCAGTGTTTTCTGTCTGGTCTTTCAGTGTTCTGTCTAACTCTGTGTTCCGTTTGACTCGTGTGTGACAGGATGAGGCTCCTGCTGTGATCCCAGGTGTGTGTTGTCCCCACTGCATACCACGGCCAGCCACCTGCGTAGTGTTTGGGGATCCCCACTACAGGACCTTCGATGGCCGCATGCTCCACTTCCAGGGGGCCTGTACTTACATACTGTCCCAGGACTGTGACGGAGGGGACTTTAGGTATAAAGCAAGGTTTTTTCTATTAACAAGATTTATGTCAAGCAAGGTTTGGTATTCGTTGATTCGTTGATTTGAACTAATTTGTGTACACCTGTGCGCGTCCAGTATCCATGCGACCAATGATGACCGTGGTCGAAAGGGAGTGTCCTGGACCAAAGAGGTGACTGTTTTCATAGGAGATGTGGTGGTGCAGCTACTCCAGGACTGGGTCGTTAGGGTGAGTGGGTTTCTGGTTGTAGATGTTCTAGCAGCGAGCCAATCAGAGCATGTGTATAAGAGGTGAGAGCCAATCTGAGCTGAGTTGTGTTTTTTATTCCAGGTGGACTACAAGGTTGTCACCCTGCCTTTCCTCAAGGAACCATACATCTACCTGGAGCGCCAGACAAATACCATCCTACTCAACACTAATATAGGACTAAAGGTACTAAAACTACCGTATCTATTTACTCTTAGTTGTCTAAACCCTTACCTGTGTTAACTCTTACATGTCTGAACTCCTCAGGTGTTGTGGAGTGGGCGGTCCCACCTGGAAGTGAGTGTTCCGGGTTCGTATAAAGGTCACACCTGTGGTCTCTGTGGCAACTTCAACAACTACCCCCAGGACGACCTACGAACCCCTGCAGGAAAAGTCAGTCAATCAGAGGCGGACTTTGGAAACAGCTGGAAGGTGAGTGAGTGTGTGTCTGTCTACTTTGTAGGTAAAGAGTGTTAACCACAACTCCTGTCAGCGCAGCCATACACAGACAGACAGAGACCCTGGTATCTCTATTTCCCCCTGTAGGTGGGTAGTGGTAACAGCAGCCTGTCGTCCTGTCGGCCTGGGGAGGATATCGACCCCTGTAAGGCAGCAGGCTACCAGGCCAGGAAGTCGGCTAATGCACGCTGCAGGTAACACACACACCAGACTTTTCAAATACATTAGCTGCGCTTGAGCTTGCCTGCTAGAATGATTGATTGATTGACCTTTGTTCCTCAGGGTTCTGAAGTCTGGGGTGTTCCAGGCCTGCCACCACCTGGTGGCTCCAGAGCCCTGGTACGCAGCGTGTGTCTATGACCTGTGTGCCTGCGGAGCCAACGCTGACGAGTGTCTGTGTGATTCCCTGGAGGCCTATGCAGCACAGTGCAGAGAGGCTGGGGCTAGACTGTCCTGGAGGAGCTCCTCACTGTGTGGTAAATACACACAAAACCACAGTATAACACATTATTTTACCACAGTGAAGGGCCCCATCTCTCTGTGTTGACATAATCTATCCCTCCGTCCCTTCCTGCCCACCCTCCCCATTTCTCTCTCTTTATCTAGCGGTGGGCTGTCCAGTGGAGCGTGGTTTCGTGTTTGATGAGTGTGGTCCCCCATGTCCAGTGACCTGTGTTAACCGTGACGTGCCACTAGGGGTGATAGAGAGCCACTGTTTTAAACCCTGTGTGCCCGGCTGCCAGTGTCCTGCTGGACTGGTACTACACAACAACCACTGTGTACCGCCAGAGACATGCCCCAAGATCATACATGGCAAGTCCTAACACACACATATTCCTAAGGGCTGCATGGACCTCTCCCAACTCTGACAGTGTGAATGAACTGTCTGAGGAGGCGCCTCACTCACCTGTGGACTTTGTTGTTGTTTTATTAACATTCTGTGAAGCTGAATGCATTTTCATCAACATTGTAATGAATGCACTGTATTTTATGACTGCACTGTTAAGAGTGTTTGTAAGTGTTTGTGATGTGACCACTCTGTGCCTCTGTAGCGCTCAGGATAGGGCTGCTGATACACTATGGTGCTCTGCAGGGATGTAGTGGGAAAACAACAAGGTGGTTAAACACCGTTGAGAAAATAAAAAGGTGGGTTAACAGTGTTAACATGTTGTTACACTCCACTACATCCCAGGTGCTTTTACTGTATAAACCTCATTCTCTGTTGTATCCACAGGGAATTATTTGAATATATTTGAATATATTATGTTTCTTTGTCACTTAATGTATGCATTATGTGTTATGCCGGACTACACAGCCTGACAATATTGGACACATTCCCTCCGCCATTTCACAACAAATAAAGATAACTATCCAACGTGTGGTTTTTGGGCGTGTTTGAAATCATTGTACAGGCCAGGGAACTAATTGCTCCTAGGTGAGACCAGTAACACAGGTGTCACAGGTCTGATTGAGGCTGACAGACAACTTTCACTATTGTTTCCTGGTAACCGGATCCGGCTGTTGTCTGGGCGACTAACGTAACCGTGCCAATAGTGTGTATAATTCATCAGTCTACGGCGTAAACATGGAACAGGTAAGACACTGGCTTATTAGTATTGTGTGTGTGTATCCGTGTGTGTAGCACGGATACACAATGTGTGATGTATCGTGCTACACACACAATTGACTTTATAAGCCATGGTGTATATGAGCCAGTGTCTCCCTCGACGCTCAGACAGCGGAGTCACTCACACCTTCAGGAGACATTTGAAACCACCTTTAGGATACCTGGGATAGGATAAAGTATCTTCTCCCACTTACAACCCCCCCCCCCCCGCCAATGTAACAGTGGTTATCCACAGCTATAACCGAACGCCCAATTTTAATCGCTCTTTAAGAGCGTCTGCTACACTTTACTAAGGTACCTTGAGATAGGCTTACTTCAACCCCTGGGAATATCCCTGTAAGCGTCTGGTTCAAAGCGCTCTGCTAATGACTAAATCTCGAAATCCTACAATCAGTGTAGCTACTGTGTGTTTTCTCAGGTGTGATGGAGCATGGTGTTAGCATTACCGTTTTTAGGTCATCTCTCGCGACGCACTCTTTTCCATTTGGATGTGGTTCTGTTCCACAAGCTGTTACATTACACACGCATGGAGAGCAACACAAGATAAAGAAGGGAAACAAAACGTCTAACTTACATTTACATTACATTTAGTCTTTGCGACAAATTGATCCAGTGCCAATTAGTTAATTAGTTATTTTTACATACATTTTGATACTGGCCCCCCGTGGGATCAAACCTTAACCTGGTTGCAAACGCCATGCTCTACAGTGTACAATCCTGCCGGTCATGTCCTCCCTTACCCTGGACGACGCTGAATCCTCTTTCAATTCAATACAGGCATATCTGTGTTAACATTGCCAAACTGTATTGTTAAAACCTCAGTGACGGAAAGGTTTTAGACATTCTTCTGGAGATGAAGAGAGAGAAAGGAGAGATGAAGTATAGTAGCTGTCACAGCTGTGGGTGTGTGCATGGATCTGTGTCTGCTAAATCTGATTAGTTTCCAAAAGGTCAATGGGTGGAGTTTAACAGATGCACAACTTTTGAAATATTGTAAATAAAACTTTGTTATAAGTTGTAATGTTTTTAAATCATTATTGTGTTACAGTTGTCAAACAAATGTGACTATCTCTAAGGTACAACTGGTCTCCTGACTCTGAAGCAAAGAGTAAAATGTAGCAAGCTAGCAGCAACATGCTAAGCTAATCAGAGCATGCTAGCTAACTAAGCATTTAACAACCTATTTGCTACTCATGTTGTATTAATAAAGAGAGCTAGCTAGCTAGTAGGTGTCAAATATATAGTACAAGTAAGTCAGCTAACATTTTCTTTATTGAAATGTTAAGTTGAATAAGCTACATGAAAAAAAGAAATTGGGAATGGACTGTTATGCTTCCGTGGGGGCAGAAACGTAAAATAAAATGAACTAGCTGGCTAAGCAGAACGCTACCTCTTACTAATGCTTAATCATAAAATAGAGCTAGCTAGCTAGGTCTCAAATATGGCAGTAAATAAGAAAATGATAAGAAGCAAAAATAATTGGTAAGGTTAAGCTTAAACTAGAAATTGGAATGCACTGTTTAAGTGCTGCTCCAGGGGCAGTAATGTTAGTTTGGGTGAAGATAACCGTAGAATATAATTTAGATAAGTCCATGGTTGCCTCTAGGGCAGTAAATACTTTTTTTGTATGACCTTTTGTGCTTGAAGTCTGCCCTTAGGGCACCTAAGTGACCTTAACCCAAATTAACATTACTGCCCCTGGGGAAGCATTTAAACAGTGCATTCCAATGGCTTCCCTGAGGGCTGTAAATACTTTTTTTAAATGACCTTTTGTGCTTGAAGTCTGCCCTAATGGCCTCAAGTGATCCTGACCCAAATATTTCTGCCCCCAGGACAGCATAGACAGTCTGTTCCAATTTTTAAGTTTATATCGCTTATTCAACTAAACTTTTGATAAAACAAATGTTAACTAACCTACTGACATATGAGACCTAACTTGCTAGCTATTTCTATTTTATAATTCAACATTAGTAAGAGATAGCTAGCTATCTGCTAGCCAACAAGCTCTGTTTAGCTTAGCATTTTTCGTTGCTGCCCCAGGGCAGCATAACTGTCCATCACGTTTTCTTAAGTTCATATAGCTTATTGAACTTAACATTTCAATAAAGTAAATGTAAGCTGACTCAATTGTATATTTGACACCTATCTAGCTAGCTCTGTTTATTAACTCACCATGAGTAGCTAAGAGGTTAATAAATGCTTAGCTAGCTAGCTTGCTCTGATTAGCTTAGCATGTTGCTGCTATCTTGCTACATTTGAGTCTTTGCTTCAAGTCAGGAGACTAGTTGTATCTTAAGAGATATTGTCACATTTGTCTGACTACTGTAACACAATGCTTTAAAAACATTACAACTTGTAACTCAAAGTTTTATTCAGGTTCTCAGTTCAAACCTCCGCCATGTTTTCAAAAGCATATATTTCAAACAGAAAGTTTGAGCGTAAAACAACCTTGACTGGGGTGTGTTTCTGAACCTTGATTCTACAGATCTACTGGGACCGACAGTTGCTGAACACAGGAAAACCCAGAGACCTGTACCACACAGACACAAGACACACACACATCGTACACCTCAAGCAAGCCCTGTACCACACCGCCGGTCATGCTCAGTACGACAGTGACGCACAGAACATACCCACAGAGAAAGAAAAGAGAGAGGAGAGAAAAGAGAGATAGAGACAGAGGTGTGTGTGAGTGGAGACCGAGGAGAGCAGCTGTTTGTTTGTCTGTAAGACTGTCTCTCTCTCTGTCTCCCTCCCTCTCTCTTTCCCTTCCTCTATCTCTGTTTCTCTCTTTCACCCATAATCACACTGGGTGTGTGTCTGTCCCTGTCCCAAGGCTGGTGCAGGAGGGTGTGTGCGGAGCCCTGCCGTCTCTGAGCGGTGGTCAGAGGTCAGGGGTGAGAGTCTGTCAGAGCTCCTCCTACTGGTGGGAGTAAAGTATGACGCCGTCACACACACTCTACATTTACATTTACATTTTAGTCATTTAGCAGACGCTCTTATCCAGAGCGACTTACAGTTAGTGAGTTTTTTTTTTCATACTGGAATCGAACCCACAACACTGGCGTTGCAAACGCCATACCACACAGAGATGCTGCAGGAACACCACAGTGAGACAAACACACACACACAAACACAGTATGTGTATACGCAGTACATCCCATCATGTTTCTGATATTTCAGGGCTGGTTGCCTGGGAGACGCTGTTGCTGTGCGAGCTTGAGGAGAGGAAGGACTGAGCTAGGTTTGCTATGGGAGGAGATTCAGGAGTCAGGTGACATGCTGAGTCAGTCTAACCTATCTGGAGCCTTCAGGATATACAGGTAACACACACACTTAGATGGTTTTAGGCTGTGCATAACAAAATTAGTTGATATAGAGGAGTAATTTAATTGAGTGGGAAACCTAAGGATAAGCAGCTGTGTGTGCAGCAGAAGGCTACCTCTCTGATCATGTGATGACATGATTAACAGGCGCAGTAAGGGCGTGTCTCTGAAGGGCTGTCCTGATTGGGTGAAACCCAGTGAGCAGTCTTGGTCGGCCATCACCCTCCTCACTGGAATACACGAGACAAATACACTCACAGCCCTGGCCAAGGAGGTACACACACAGAAACACACACACGCATACCTCAAATCCACAATAACTGCCCTGACCGAGAGGCAAACACATTTTCCAGGTCCTGCAATAAACCAATCACAACCTTGACTGTGAGAATGTGTCCCTCTGCCTCTGCAGGCTGGACAGGGAGACCCTGCGGCTGATGGGTCTGAACGCCAGCCTGGCCACCATCAGAGCTCAGAGGGAGAAACTGTCCCATGGTGCACTGCTGGCAGCCAGACAGGACTGGGAGACATGGTGAGGCCTTCATGGCAACCACAATGGGAATAAGTCTCTGACTTTACTGTGTCAATGATTTCATACATCTGCCTTGTTTCCAGGTCCAGTATTAGCGGCTCCTGCAGTAGAGATCAGGCCTTGCTCTAGATGCAGGAGGATTGGCTGGAGTGGTGTTAAGCTCGCAGCCATTGGACTCTGGAGCAGTGGAAACACGTTCTCTGGAGTGATGAATCACTATCTGGCAGCCCGACGGATGAATCTGGGTTTGGCGGATGCCAGGTGAACGCTACCTGCCCGAATGCATAGTGCCAACTGTAAAGTTTGGTGGAGGAGGAATAATGGTCTGGGGCTGTT